TCACTAAGGATTTATGATATTAAAAGTCATTGAAGTTAGACATGATGACAAAAAACCGTAAATGATAGTTAAACAATCAGGAGTCTGTGTGTGTGCTACTGATATCGACAGATATATGTAGCATGTATCATAAATCGAATGTAGAATGCTTGGAGACAGAAGGTTAAGAAGATATATATAAATATATATATATAATTATGTATAAACTGCACTAAAATAACCAACATCGAGCCATTTTTAGCATTCAATATTTAATATTATTTTGGGGTTTTGTTTATCAACTAAGACCAAAGGCCATGGATCACTGTTGTGGAGTCACATACTAGGAAGAATCAGTCGTTTAATACTTGCTGGTAATTCTCCAAGGAACACTACTCAAAAATTAAGTTGATGTTTATGGAACCTCTCAATCCAAACTGCAATAATCAACTTATTAGTGACTTACTTCAAAAATTTTCTTAAGCTCAAATGAAAAACCTTGGCCGATTGTATTCAGACATATAAGAAGTGAAGCAGTAGTCAACACTGTTATTAAATAACCATTAATCTGTATCACAAATAGATCGAAGTTGAAAATGTACCAATAATCATAGTTTCATTATGACGTCTAAAGTTTATGGGTTGAATCCATGATGAAGTAGGAGATCCGTAATGTTAAGAAGTCCCATATTAAAATAAACCAGCTGACAAGTGTTTCCTGACATTGAATAACATTATAATTAGAATCAAAACTCTTCTGTTGAATTCACGAACATTGTTAAAATTCTATTATTTTGGAGTAATGTCAGTTGCATAGTCAATTAATACATCATGATTTCTGATAAATGTTTAATTCTTTATAAAAATCAACTCAGATTTACTTAAACCTATAATTTTAATTCTAGTTAATAATCACTTTATTAAAACAAAAAAATTACTTGCCTACGTGCTTACGCCTGTTATCCTTTGTGGAGGAACATAGGACTCCCACCATCATTATCTATCCAACCCTGTCCTGGGCAATCCTTTCCAGTTCTTTCCAATTGTTATTCATCATTTTCATATCTGCTACTATTTCGCGGCGTAATGTGTTCTTTAACCTTTTTCGTTTCCGCTCCCCTTCAGGATTCTAAGTTAGCGCTTGCTTCGTGATGCAGTTTGATGATTTCCGTAGATAACTAACTCAAAAAAAAAGCTAAGAAGAAAAAAAATTAATTAGTAAGAAAAATTGATTCTTTTTCGACAATCAATTGTAAATTCCTACTGAAACATTGTAGGACGAATTGAACCAAAAAATAATTTCATTTAACTGTCTTCACATTATCATTGTCATTAGTATCATGACGTGATGTGTGCTACTGATGTCTACAGATATAAGTAGTATGTATCATCAATCGAATGTAAAATATTTGGTGGTAGAAGATCAAAGGAAAAAGAACGAGAACAGAGAATGATTGGTGTGGGAACGAAAGAACAATGAAGTCTGAGATAATTCATTGACGTTTTGTAGATGGAATATTTACTGTATGGTTCTCAGATTTTACAGAGTTGTCCTGTAATTTGGTGTTCAGTTGTCCACGCTTATGTTCTCGTTCACTACAATGGTTTTATTAGAAGTTTCCTCAAAATTTTACACTCGAACGTAAACAAACTTACCATACTTAGACTTCTCCAGCTCAAAAAATTTAACATTGCTAACAACATCTATATGAGCTACTAATCTCCATAATTTCACAATGAATAAGATATTTTCCTCCACTTAGCTTTTGATTTCATATTCTTTTTTGTATTGCAAAAGTTTGTGTAGATTGTTGAGTTTGCTTTTTCTTATTAAGATCAATCTATGGTATTAGTTATGAAACTTGTCATTTTATTGAATAGGTTTTCCAGAGACTACTTTAATTCGAAGGTGGTATTTATCGTAGACTGATAACAGTTGGGATGCAATTGAAAGTTAGGAAACACTGAATAGATGTTTCTTTTTATTATGTGATCCCTTGATTACTACTTTACTAGGATTCAAACTCAGAACCATCAAATATCATCAGTAAACCATATGGCTGTTAGCAGAAATGGATAGTGGCTAGCAGTGGAATCAAGGACGCGCGTTTCGTCCTATTTGGGACTCGTCAAACAAACAATACTAAGTTGAACATATGGCTGTTATTTAGTAATGCATATTTCCAGTTTCCATTCAGCTTGATTGTGATTTTCTCACTTTTGATGTATCTAAATGAAAATAATAAAATCCCATACTATTTTCTTACATTAACTATATTGTATTATTAATTAGCTAATTTAAAAAAAGAATAATAGGATATTCAAAATATTCGAAGTAATTCTGTGTAGATGGAATGTAATATTTGGTCACAATCTACTTAATAACTGACAAGATAACTGATCAAACATTTTTTTGATAAGAAGTTGAACAATAAGGTAATATTAATAGTTAAGATCATGAATCAATTGAAACTAGACCACCATGGAAAACCTGGAAGCACTGAACGGCTGTTTCGTTCTATTATGAGACTCCTCAGCAGTTCACATACACGATCCCACCTCGCGAGTGCTTAACCTCTAGACCACTGAGCCAGCTGGCATCCAACGGTGTTAATGTCTAACTTCAACCGATTCACAAAATTGAAAGACACATCCACCAATGTCTTCAGTGAGTTACTCTCTTACAACAGACCTGGTTGAACTTCAATAGTCACTGCTTCTCACTAGAACTCCAGGAAATACGTCATGGAGCCAGTCACTAGTGAGCATATGTTGATAAATATCAGAATGGATTTTGTGGATAATATAGTAATTTTCATAGTTGCGATCATGAATTGGTTGAAGTTAGAGTCCCACAATAGGACGAAACGGCCGTTTTAGTGCTTCAAGGTTTTCCATGGTGGTCTAGCCTCAATTGATTCATGATCTCAACTACTATAATATCCACAAAAGCCCTTCTAATATTAATAAGGTAATAGTTATACTAGCATAAAAAGGTTAACTGAGCATACCAATGGCCAGCTTAGAAAGGATGTCTATACACTGTGCTGATGAGCCTATGGGTCGAATATATTAAATATATTAAATTAAGTGACGAGTTTTCTAGAATATGATATACTAATGGAAAAGCATTATTTAAGCTTAATTAATATCCTTTATTAAGTGAACAAGTAAAAAGCTTCATAAACAACTTTTAACTTTCCCCCACTTATTAAGTTAGGTTGACTTTCAGTAATTCAGTTATATTATTATTTATTTAGGTGATTCCATAATTTTTCTCAGAAGATTATTTTCAGAAAACATTGGCTTTACTAACAAATGAAATAAGGTTCTTCATTGACTATCTTCAACTATACAATATTAAACATACAGTAAACAATATTGGATCACTTAAACTAACGTCCACATTGCAACTTAATCCATAGAACTCAATCAGACAACCAACAAATTGTCCGTGATTCAGTGATCAGTCAGTATAAACATCTCGGTCTGACATCAGTTTGGTCGTATTCTGATTAGCTCATTAGTAAAGTTGAGCGACATGTGTTTGAATCCTATAGAAATCATCAGTTCCCTAATAGTTCTAGTTACACCATACTGACGACTACTAACTAGCAGAAAATTCATGTCAATTAGGATCTCCTATCTACTAACTTCAACAGCCTGATATCAACTACCATTTTTTCCTACTAAATGAGAATTTTGATTTGATTTTCCAGTTTTATCATGCCTTTTTCCACTTATATATATGCACTGAACACATTGAACAGGTCTATATTTTAATATTTAGATGCGTGCAAACGTGTATCTATGCTTATGTGCAATGGTATGTCATTTTTTACGTTTTCATTATTAGATAGGCCAGTAAAAGTATGGTTCATCAAGTAACTAACTAACTAACTAACCCGTATTGTTATATATGTATTCAGAGAAGAAATAAATTTCATCAGTGGGGGAGATTTAGTCTATCTATCACTCTCCCTCCCTCCCCCCTCCCTCTTTCTCTCTCCCGTTGGCTTTTTGTACAATGTATACAAACGTACATTTTATTATTATTATAATGATCATAGGTCAAAATTCCATCCACACGTACACATACACACACACACTCATCACCTACACATTATTATTGTATAAATAATGATACAGTAATAATTATTGTGGTATATCGAAATCAAACACACCCAACCACCAAATTAAAGAAAAAAAACCCACATTCTAAATGCATTTTTGTAATTGATTAACGTACTGTATATGTAATGAAATTGCTATACATATTGTACAGGTGAAAAAAATTACTTCTATCCATTAAAAATCACAATTATCAATAAAACTAAATGTATCATACAAATAGTTCATTGATAGACATATACACATACTAGACACATTCATGTACATGTAACCTTATAGTGTATACATACAAAGACCTGGCACCAAAATACATACTACTGCTAGTGAATGCACATATATATGTATTTATAAGCATCAATATTTGCACCTATTTATATTTATACCTAGGCATGAACTTTAGTAAACATAATAATAATAGTAATAGTACTATCATTACTTTATTATTAATAACATTACTAATACCATTAGTATTATTATTCAACCAATCAGCCAACTGGAACAATGGAATATTTCAGAACTGATTCATTAAAACAAAAAAAACCTCATTTATAGTTTGGTAAACATACATTATTGAAGTTTCATTCATTGTTCAATTATTCTACTTACAAATTGAATAATGAGTAGTATATACTAATCAAATACTTGAATATTCTATTAAAAGTCTTTCATTACTGAAAAAAAACATCAACTTGGAATATAATTCAATTCAATGATGAATATATAAGTATACTTTAATAATTGGATATTTAATTACAACATTTATCAAAAAATTCCATCACGGACCCTTCACTAATACTACTACTACTACTACTACTATAACTACTGAAAAAGAATAAAAGTAATAAATAATACATACAATAACTGAAAGGTTATAACTGATATCAGTAGAAATGGATTTTGTAATATTAAAGGTAAGTTTTGATAATATCTATTTGTGAAATATTTGATTTGAAGAAATATATAATCAGAAGGGGTTTTGTGGATATTATAGTAATTTTAATAGTTGCAATCATAAGTCAATGGAAGCTAGACCATCATGAAAAACCTGGAAGTACTACATGGCAGTTTCGTCCTATTATGGGATTCCTCAGCAGTGCGTATCTATGATTCCGCCTAGCAAGACCGATAGGTTCAAATCTCGCGAGATAGTATTGTGGTTGTGTACTGCTGAGAAGTCCCACAATAGGACGAAACGGTCATCCAGTACTTCTAGGTTTTTCATGATGGTCTAGCTTTAATGGAATCACTATCTCAACTATTATAAATATGTAATCACTGATTACAGTATTATGATCAGAATGGTCAATAAAATCCTTTATAGAGTTGTATTTTTGTTACAGAACCAAATTTTTCATGTATCGTTTACAGCTTTATAAATAATAAATAAATAATCCAATTACAAATAAAACAATATGATTATAATATTCCAATGAGTAGAAAAATTAAGTTTTCTAAAATTTCGTAACTTAATGTAAGCCACTTCTTCAGAGAATAAATAACCAGATCAAAATTTTTGATTGATCGTATATAATATTCTTGTGTTGTTCTTTTGTACCATTTAAACTTGGATTAATTTTAATTATAAACAGTTGTTTACGCAAAATACTCAACATCCATTGGCCGGATACTATCAGCAACAGCGTTTTATGGGAGAGGACGAACCAGCTTCCAGCTAAAGAGGAAATTAGGGAAAGACGTTGGAAGTGGATCGGACATACATTAAGGAAATCACCAATGTGCATCACAACTCAATCCCTAATTTGGAATCCAGAAGGGAAACGGAAAAGAGGAAGGTCAAAGAACACACTACGCCGGGAAATAGAAGCATATATGAAAAGGATGAATAGCAATTGGAAAGAACTGGAAAGGAAGGCTCAGGACAGAGTTGGATGGAGAATGCTGGTGAGCGGCCTATGCTCCTCGACGAGGGGTAACAGGCGTAAGTAAGTAAGCAGTTATTCTCTGAAGAAGTGGTTTACACTGAGTTACGAAACGTTGGGATATTACAAAAATATTGTTACATGTATAACAATCTACTCAATGCTCAATTTATTTGAAATTATCAAGTCAAATCTTGTTGATGATACCTATAAATAATCCAATTGTCTATCCACCATTTCACTGACGTAAATTTTAACACAGTTCCAATAGTGATTTATATGAGAAAAGGTATCTTCTATTCTTTTATCATAGTGCAAAGCAGTTAATTCATTCAATAATTAACGTAATATTCACTAATGAGTTTTAAATTAGAAATCAATGTACTGAAATATACCTTCCTTATAAACTCAATCAATAATCTGTTATAATTACTATTATTATTTAAACACATAAATATCGGTATAGGGGGGCAACAGATATATATGCACCGCACAAATCTCATTTAATTTGGGTGAGGGCTGTGATACTGCTCAGGTGCCCAAACTGAAGCGGTGGTTTTCTTAGGGGGGCCACACCTGGGGCCTTTGACCTAAAGATCTGATTCACAAGGCAGTGGAGCATCGTGAGGAGATGCAGTCTCATGGTAGCCGATCACCAAAGGTTGATTCATACGCCATTTGTTCCCTCAAGATACTGGAGCCTATTTGCACCATTGGTTTGGAATCAGGGTTTTTTAACTCCCCTAGAATGACTTCACATGTTCACTAACCCGGTTAAAGCGCCGGACATTCGGTTTCCGTCCTCTGAATTTCATAAACAACACTCTTGGTGCAAGAAGACAGTGAATAGGACTTCCCTGTCAGAGACTGTATAAGCGTGGCCATGTGGGAGTATTTTGAGAGGGAGAGCGGACTCTCCCCACTCTCGACTGTACCAAGGCATTTGGGGGCTTGTGTAGTTATATTTGTGTTATATAAGAATAACTATATCAAGTCAAAAGTATAATGTAACTCTCAGTAAATACTGTGTTGACATTGTCATTGATTACCTTTTTAATGACAGGTCTTATTAGCTAATAGTAGAAACTAAGGTATCTATTTCTATGAATATGAAAGCCATTCATTTTAATAAGTGTCTGTGTTTCTAAATGAGATTTGAATTCAAGCTTTCGATCGATATGAACATTAGAAAACTCATCACAACCATTTGTTCTTTTATCTATGTTAATCACGTTATTATAAAGGTGGGCTCCAACAAGAATGAATTGTATGACTTCTAGACAGGTTATAATTCTATATTTCTAATCCATTGTATAATGGAAACGATTAGTATTACACTTGAATAAAGTAGAATTTTGGAATAGGGTTGTGGAGATTGTTGAGTTTCGATTTAGACCATGAACCGATCGATTTCAGACCACCATTGAAAACCTAGAAGATATGGACAACCATTTCACAATAGTATGGGACTCTTCTGCCATGTGCATCCATGATCCTGAAAGCGGAACTCAAACCCAGAAATCTTGATCTCTCACGCGAACGCTTAACCTCTATACCACTGAGCTGACATCTGATGGTGTTAATTTCTAACTTTAACCAATCCACAAAATTGCACCACCTCTCACTATTGTCTTCGGTAGATAACTGCCTCACACCTAACACAGATGAAATTCACTGGTCACGGTTTCATACTAGAACTCCGAGAATCACCTCTCGAAGCTAGTCACTGGTGAGTACTGTAACTATTGTCCATCTTAAATAATCAATAATGTGAACGATTGGATATTACTCATTTCTAAATTGAATTTGACATTAACAATAGATTTTATTCATTGTAAATTTAATAGTATGTAGGAACACATTGTTTCATTAACATATCTATAAAGAAATCGATATGTGTTTATTACTAATACTAGATGAGTATAGTAGTCAACTGACTTGTGGATGATTTTCATTACTTATAGAAAACCTACAAGATATTATGTATATGAGTTCACTATAATAAAATCAGAAATCTGTAACAGTGAGTTAAGAGAATATCGTGAACTGAATCAACTGAAAACCTAAGACTCAATTAATAATCAAACTTACTTATTTACTTACTTCTATTACCCCTCATAGAGGATCAAAGACCACCCACTAGCACTCTTCATCCAACTCTGTCCTGGACAATCCTTTCAAAATCTCTCCAGTTGTTAATAATCCTCTTAATGTCTGCTTCTAATTCTCGACTCAGTGTGTTCTTTGGTCTTCCACTTTTCCATTTCCCTTCAGGATTCTAAGTAAGAGCTTGCCTCATGACACAATTTGATGATTTTCTCAATGTATGTTCCACCCACAACTTCCATCGTCCTTTCCTAATTTCCTCCTCCACTGGAACCTAGTTTGTTCTCTCCCGTAGTAGACTGTTCCTGATGGCATCTGACCAACGAATATTAGGTATCCTACATAGACACCTATTAATAAATGCATGTACCTTTTCGATGATTCTTGTAGTTCTCGAAGTTTCAGCTCCGTACAGTGGAACTAACAGTCTTGACTTTCGTATTGAAGTTTGTGACTTTGATATTGGCTTGCAGTCAGTTGTTTTCAGTTCCATGTGCTGTCCAACTGTAGGAATACTGCCTTTGCTTTGTCAATCCTCGCCTTTACGTCTGCACCAGATCCTCCTTGTTCATCTATGATGTTTCATAGAAACGTGAAAGATCCCACATCTTCCAGAGTTTGTCCATCAAATGTAATTGTGTTGCTGTTCTCCGTGTTGTATCTGAAGTAACTTAACTGAAACATCTTAAAAATTAATTACTATTTACGAAAAAAAATATACATGGAATCCATTGTTAATGAACACAAACCACAAACTTTTTATCACACACTAAATAAGGAGTGTTAAATTCGAATCAGTATATTTTACTGTGATTTTCCCATATAATTATTAGTCAATGTAAGATTATATAAACTTTTAGTCGGTCAATAACATAGAGTTAGCGATGGAATTCAGGATGTATATTTAGTTTTATGTGGGACTCGTCATTTAGACGTGCATTCACTAAAGTGCGTTGATGTTAACAATGGAGCTCGAACCCAGTAAGACTCGTTTCAAATGACGACGTATTATTCATTAAGGTACTGCATCTAGACAGGTACTAGCTTGTGAAACGGGTATGAAATTTATTTGCAAGGGTTTGTGGCTAGATATTAATATCTAGGCAATCCGCTCGAAATGCAAAAACAATTCCTACCATATAATACAGTACAAATAACATAAGAGTGTGTAAATAAACACATTTGCTTGAATATATTCAGAGGTGACAATCCATTCTACTCATACATGTACAATATTGTATAATTTCTACTATGAATCAAAATAGCAAAATAGCAATTATTTGACAGGAAAGCACAGATATCCTACTGCAACCAGGTCTTTTGTGAGATAGTAAATCACTGAAGACAATAGTGCGAGGTGCAATTTCGTGGATTGATTGAAGTTAGAAATCAACATCGTTGGATGCCAGCTTACTAGTCTAGAGGTTAAGCGTTCGTGTGAGAGACCAAGGCTCGTGGGTTTGAGTTCCGCTTTCAGAATCATAGATGCATATAGCAGAAGAGTCCCATACTATTGTGAAACGGTTGTCCATGGCTTCTAGGTTTTCCATAGTGGTCTAGCTTCACTTGACTTATGAATTCCACTATTAAATTCATATCTTTCTTCACCAATAATAATAATAATAATAATAATAATAATAATAGGTTCATATGACATATGAATAAAGTGTCTACTTATTTTCTTTAACAAAACTTACAACACACAATAATCATTGTTAAGTGTTGTAAAATGATTGTTGAATAGTAAATTGACTAAGATGTTGCTGAGATAAAACGGATCAAAATATCTTATTGTTGTCATTCAATTAAATGTTTATCATAGATTTCTATTTGAAGTACGATGTCATCAAGATACGGTGTTTATTCAAGTAACGTACACAAGTATGCTCATTTCATATACATACAGTTTTAACTTAATCTACTTG